TTACTATGATGCAGATCATCCAAATTTTACTATGTTTTACAACCTCCTATAGATCGGCGGGAAATGTCCTGTGACTGTTATCAATTAGGACGTCCTCAAAGTACACCATTATCAATTGAGAAGGTCTCGGGGATAGCTGTTCTTGGTTAGATTTTCTCGTATAAAAGATTCAATATCCACGAAATATGTTATTTTGATTAATGTGAGTGATTCCATGTTTTGCACAAATATCCTGCTTTTTCGATCACGTAAAATTTGAGAATCTAAATCCACTTGGCCATGCGGGTGAAATAAAGGATTGAGATGGCAATGTTGTTTGCCATCAAATTCAAATTCCAGTTGCAATTATTCATTGAGCCATAATCCATTCAAGAATCTTGGAGCTTGAAATGGAAATTTCTTGCCTAACAGATCCTCAAAAATATATCTCGTTCTCCTGTTGAATAAGGACATGGGAGTACCAGTCATATCTTTCGTAATAATTTTTAGTGGTCGTTTCCATAGATGATTTTCATGCCATAAAAATAAGAGTTTAGTTCAGTTTGAATGTGAATTTTTCCACCTCATTTTTCGGCATAAGCTTGATATTCAGCAATATTCGACATGTTTATGCTAATGTTAGAAAAAATCTGATTGGTATCAGAGTGAAATATTATTATTATATATATCACATGGAATTAAGCCATCAAAGAAAACTTTAGACAATTTAGACACACCTAAATAGCCATTATATATTGTAGTTAGTGGGAGATCGAATGCCGGGAAGACCAATATGATTCTAAACCTTTTTCTCGGGGATAAGTGCTATATAATCTGAAAGAAGGAAAAAAGTGAATCGGTGAACGACACATATTTTGCAATGATCTTGTATTAGTGGGACACTATATCAACAAGCCCAAGTATAGATTGGCCAGAAACTTCTAAGAAAATAGTGTATCATTCAAAACTCATAATATGAAGATGTTACATTTACCACAATTGCATCTAATAAAATTCCAGACCTAAATCATTCAAAAATCCACAGCTATAATTTTGACAAGATTTGTGTACTAAAGTATATAGAAAACAAACAAAATGTATATTTGAATTTCTTAACTGCTTTGGTTTGTTTATCAAAGCAAACAATCCCGATTCCGACAAACAAAAAATTAGCAACAACTTAAAGTCAAAAAATTCATACATGATGACGAAATTCATTTAATAAAATTCGAAACTTTCGAAAAAAATTAAGTTGTCGAAATCGAAAGGTCTCTAGCGAAATTAAAATCAAAATTGAAATAAAATGACCAAATTAAATGACTTTATTATTAAATTATATTAATTATATATATCTTCCAATACTACTAAAAATTCTTCAACAATATCTTCAGCTACATAATTCATTGTTTCAATTCTTCTTTCCGAAATACTTTCATTAATGACAGTATTTTCACTTTATCAAAAATTGGATCATTTAAATTTACAATATACTCAATACCTAATAATATATACAGTGTGTTACAAAAATAATTGGCCAAAAAGCCATGTGATTTAAAACGTGATAACTTTTTGCGTAAACAATAA